TCACAACCACCTGTAACCCCAGTTCCAGAGCAACCAGGGCCTTTAGCCTCTGCAGGCATCTGCACATGCATGTATGCATGCGTGCACACACACACACACACACACACACACACACTCGAGCATGCTAGCACATGCACACAAGCCTTTAAAATTATAAGTTTTGATCAATTAAATTGAACAAACTGGCTAAGAGAGGGGCGGGGTGGTACATGCTTGTTATGCCAGAATCTGAGAGGTGGAAGCAGGATGTTCCGTGTTTCAAGCCCAGCCTCAGCTACATAAAGATTTGGAGGCTAACCTGAGCTAAAGAGAATTGATCTCAAACTTTAATCAAGTCGCCTCTCCTTTTATTATTATTATTTTTTTTAAATAGCATCCCTCACGGGATCTGGAGTGCACCATCTGGGCTAGACTGGCTGACCAACAAGCCCTTGGGATTTCCCCATTTCCACCCCTAGCACTGGGGTGGAATCCATGCCACCATGCCCAGCCTTTTAGGTGGGTGATGGGGCATCGCTCAAGTCCCAGTGTCCACAGAGCAAACACTTTACCCCTGAACTACCTTCCCAGCCCCCTAACAATACTGCTAAGAGCAGGAGAGTCCCAGAAACACAATATATTAAAAATTACTAAAACATGAGAAATGTTGGTTTAAAAACTGAAGTGAATATATGTATATACGTGTATATATATGCATATATGCTCAACATACTATATACGTATAATGTTGATGGTGATTTCTTCATGTACTGTCTAAAATTAAATCTTTTACTGCCTTGTGATTTTGAGACCAATCAATACGCTATAAAATACCCTCTGTGGCTCCTCAGTCTTCATTTGTGCCTTAACAACGGCCGACATTCATTTGTGATGAAGCCTTTTTAGAGCCACACAGCTATTTCGCGTCTCTTCTGAAGATATATTAAACCTTTGAGCACTCAATAAAAATGACCAGTTAATTGATTCTATCACAAAAACCTGAGAAGCTCCTCCAAAATGTTTACATTAAAGACTAGCCAAGTCGAAGTGAACTCCAGGTCTCCTGCGCAGGCTCTCGTCCCTGTAATCTAAGCTAAGAATGGACACCGGAGGAGTTCTTTCAAAGGAAGCTATACAACAAGCGCCGTGTTAGTCTAAATGCTCCCATCCAAATTTATGGCTTTATTTAAGGAATATAATGTCTGCAGCAGTTACTGGGAAGGGGGCCCCAGAAGAGTAGGGGAGGTCAAGAGTAGGGGCAGGCTTTGGGGTCCAATAGGTCGGTTTGAACCCCCACATTCCTCACTAACTTTGGGGACTTAGACAAGTTCATATAAAGCTCATTGAGTCTTAATTCAGTTATCAAAGGGAAACACAAGGCCTCCTGCTGGGAGGGCTAAATTAGATAACACGCAGACTGCTTAGCATGGGCCCTTGACCATGAGAAATACTCAGAAATGTCAATTACAATAAAGAAGATGTAAGAAACATGTATGTGTGGGAATGGGGGAAGACTGGGCTCCCGAAGACAAACTGGACAAGCACTTTACCTTGTGACCCTCTAAGACTGGATTTTTAATTGTAATTTAATATTCAAATTTCAACAGGAGTAAAGACTTGAAGGAAGAGTGTAGAGGCAGCAGTGGATTTTTTTCCGCATGCTCTTCGCCCGATTATCCATTCTATTGGTGCTTTTGAAAGAACCAGAATCATTTACTGGATCTCAAGTAGCATCTTAAAACTTATATAGAAAACACATATGGGAAACCTGAACACTACTTCAAGAGTTTAAAAATGTATCATTGGCCCTGGACATGGTGGTGTGTGCCTGGAATTCCAGCAGGTGAAAGGCTGAGACAGACTAGACTACAGGATCTCGTCTCCAAAGACCGAAGACTGAGGGCATGACTCAGTGACAGGGTGCTTGTCTAGTAACTGCAGGGTCCTACACCCAATCCTCAAAAACTAAAAAAAGGCAAAAAAACATATAAATATATACCTCACACGTGTGTGCGCGCACACACACATACACTCAGTGTTTGTATAACAGGGAACAATAGACAATACACCTCTTCATTCAAAGCCACCCTTTTACTGTCTGATAATGAGAAAAGAAATAAGCTCCCCTTGAGTGTTTAGCTTGTGTTTGATATTGTGCAAAGGGTGTGTGCACATCAGTCGTTTCATTTGGCCCTCACACATGAAATGGACCTTCCCTCCAGGAAGAAGGATTCTTACAGAAGAGGAAACCGAGATTTTAAATTACTTGCCGCAACAAAGGGCTTGTTACCAGGGACAGCCAGTTTCAAATTCAGTCCCCCAATTCAACACCCTTGTCTAACATTTACCCAGGATGTAGACTTCTCACAAAGTTTAAACTAGAGTGTCACGTTCTGGGGGTGTTGCCTATCTCAGAGGAGGTTGTGATTCGGGGGTCAAAGCAGCAGGCATGCGATCCAGCTTCTGCCCCTGGAAGGGCTGTGTTAGTGGCGAGAGTTGGCAAGTCATTTAATCCCACTGTGTCTGGATTTCCTTACCTACAAATCGGAACGATAATATCTGCCCTGCCTCGGCCCAAGGAGACTGTGAAACAAACACATTTAACAAGCGAAACGCCCCACTGTCCTCCTCAGCTATAGGAAAGCCTACCGAGTCAGCCTGGAAGGCCCCGTTGGTCAAGAATACACATATCAACTATGCAAGCAAAAGACAAGTGCCAGGCTTTTATAAGCTATGCATGGAAATGCTTTTCAGTTCTTCGTACATAGTAGGTCTTCAGGAAATGTTCATTAAGGTAAGCCAGGTGCACCTGCATGCACACTAATTCATTTGCATTTTATTTATCACGTTTATTCTTTTCACCCCTAACTTGACTACGACCCAGAGTCATACATAGACTGTGGCTCAGTACGCAGGCACACGCCCGCAATCCCAGCATTCCAGAGATGGAAGCAGGAGGCTCCGGAGTTCACGGCCATTCTTGGCTACCTGAGTTCAAAACAAGCCAGGGCTAAATGAGACTCCGCAAGCATGAGGCCCTGAATTTGGACCCTCAGTTCACACGTAAAAGCCGTACATGTTGAGACGATGCTGGGGGGCGGGGCATTAGCCTGCCTGTCCAGCCAAACTGATGAGCATCAGGTTCAGTTCAATGAGAGACCCTGTCTCAAAATACAGAGTGGAGAATAATGGAGAAAATCAAACTGGTAGCCTCCACAGGCTGCACACATGTGAGTGGGCACATGTGCATGCACACGCGCACACACACACACGAGCACATACATGCACAAGCATACATAAAACTGGACAAAAATTGTTACAAAATTGCAAAAGAAAAAACATAAAAATGTAGCCTTTTTTCACTTAGCAGTAATAACTTACACTATTACAATGCTTTGTACTTTATGAAGAACTATATAATTTCATTTTTCATGTCAATTATCTAAGTCTATCATGTCAGCATTATCTTCCTGGTTCCAAATTCAGTGCTCTGTTTATATTGTAAAGTCTTGAAAGTTTCTCAGTTGTTACAGGTGACTCTAAACAAAAACTTTGGAGTAAAATTTAACTAATCAATAGGCAACACATAGATGGTTTAATTGCAGGATTCTCCCCCACCCCACACTTTTGTGAGTTAACATAATCCATAATGCAACCACATAACCTATCCAAGATATATTTTCAAATGTTTCTTTTTAAAACTGCCCTTGAATTTCCTTCTTCTTGCAGGCAATTTTCTTTTGGGAAAAAAAAAAGAAAGAAAAGAAAGAAGAAAAAACCGAGCCAGGCTTCTCTCAAGTCGTTAAAGGCGGTGGCCGTGAAGGTGCCCTCTCTTTGTTGACTCTTTGAAAATTACTCAAAATTGATCACTGTATACAGATGCCCGAGCCACAAACAATGCCAAATGACCGCTAGCCATTTTATTATATAATTCAACAACTACTGTAGGTAATTTTACGGGGGAACATTGATTTAACGGACAACTTAATGAATTGCTCATTTGCCACAGGAAATCTACTAAAACCTTTCACTAAAATTGTCTTATTCTTTGTATTCCAACCACTCCCCTTCCAGCACTGCCAACTCCCCAACACACACACACACACACACACACACACACACACACACCCCACACACACCCCTACACCCAATGCCAGATCAGCTTCCCAGCCATTATTCGTAAAACCATATTAAAATTTCACAACACATGGTCACTGTTACTAGGTTTTGTCCCCCCTCCCCCTACGCTGAATCAATGCCTTAAAAATATACATTCTCCCTTGAAACCCACAATTCAGAAAAGCATTGCCATGTCTCGCGTGTGAAAACATTTAACATAAAATTCAAATGTCTGCTCTTGACTGATACTCTGGTTCTTTTAAAGAGCCATACCCCACCCACCGCATCCATGGGATTAGAGGTCCAATCTTGCCACCACAGAGCTCTGCAAGAAAGGGCGGTTATAGCTGTGGGGAAAACCATCGCGATGGGAGAAGATAAGGCGAGCCCATTTCACGCCCCGGCGGCGTGCGGTCCCGGACTCCAGCCCTGGGAGGGAAACCTTTGTTCGCCTCTGCCATCAAACTGGTGGCTCATCAGAACTGGGGCAACAAGAGTTTGTGCGCATCGGTTCGGCAGAGGTTAAACAAAGCGATGCAGCCTGGGGACCCGGCTGAGCGGGTCCGCGTCCCTGCTCCTGGCTGCCGAGGTCCGGCTCAGCGCGGGGGACTCGAGAACCGGACAAGGCGCGGGAAGGGGCGCAGGACTGAGCGGGTCCCACGCTCTCGGCAAGTTCCCGGGGTGCAGCCCGTCTGCAGGTTCCTCGTGGGGACCCACGGGCGCTCACGCTCTGCACTGGTCCGGAGGACAGAGACCGCGCCGCGAATGGGGTCGCCGCTCCAAGACCTCCGCCAGCTTCCCGAGCCCACGCCCCGGGCAAGGTCGGAGTCTCGCCGGGGCCCGACCGGAGGAAGAAGCCACTAGCTGCCCATTGTCTGTTCCCGCGACCGAGGGGCGCTCACCTGAGGTTTCACCGCGAGCCACGGTGAAGGGAGTGATGACCGACGACGCGCGTCCCGGGAATGTCCCAGCCCGCCGAGCCTCCGCAGCAGCAGCCCCAGCAGCGCGGCCAGCTCTCAGGCGCCCGCGGCCTCCATTGCTCTCCCCGCCGC